ATAGTATCCAAATAGTTTCTTACTTGTCTGGAGTAATGTGGTGGTGCTTCATCTTGTTGGAATACAATATCCATATCGAATTCATTAGGATTCGCTTCGACGATTTCAGTGATGAGAGCGTTAACAGTAGTTTCCAGCATATTCAAATACAATTCCCCTGTTGAATTTTGATCAATGAATAGAAGTCCTACAATATAGTTTCCCAATATTCCTGCCCAAACGTTAATTTTTTCTGGATATTGGGTATGTGTTTCCCGGAAACGTTAGGGTTAGTGTCACTCCAATAACGGCAATTTTGTCTGTGAAAATTGCCGTTTAAAAAAAATTTACATTCGTCACTAAAACAAATATTGTGGAGATAGGTAGGATGCATTGCAATGATTTCCGTCATAATTTCACCGAATACTGTTCTTCGATCAGGGTCATCTTCAGTTAATTGGTGTACCATTTTAATTTTGTATGGATGATACCTATTTCTCTTCAAAAGTCTCCACACACTAGAAGGAGACACCTCACAAACATTCGCGACGGAATAAGTAGACTGTTCAAGATTTACTACTATATCACCAATTATTTGCACTTGCTGTTCTTCCGGAATTTACAATGATGTTCATTGACGTATTGACATTTTTTGTCGATTCAATAAACAAACAATAACTTGAAAAACCTTATCGGGTTGTTAGAATTGCCATATGGCAGATAAAAAGGAATATTTTTAGAAATATCGATATTAATGTGTTTGTCTTATTATCATTGAATTTTCCGCCATTTTGTAGTTGGTGAAGATATTGACTTCATATTCTAGGGTGGTGAAGTATTTGTCAGGAGCTTCAGAATCATGTGTCACAAGACCTCCTTTCCATTCAATTTTTCCCCAGGTGGTGCCCAGCCGCCATATTGAAAGTTTCATCTGTCAATTTCACTTCAAAATAAAGTATTCATGAATCAATTTCATTATCCCCAATTCAAATTTTTTGAGCGGACCCGTTCAAAAAATAAAAGCAGGAGACATTAAAAAAATGCACTGTATAGTACATCACTTCGAAGGTTATGTCAAAAAATCGCGTTAGTTACACCAACATCTATTTTAAAATATGTATTGAAATCTGTTTTTCACGCACGCCTACGAACGACAACCCTCAGAAATCGAAACTTGTGCGAGCTAAGGATCTTACCTTTTAACGTGTAAATCCTAACATATATAACTCAAGATCCGAAAAAATTAAAACATTGATAAAATTTTGGGAAAAATAAGAATAAAACTGTCTCACCACGTTCGATTTGTTAGGTTATGACAGTTGTACGCACCAAGAAAATTGAAGTTATGGAATTTGTGATACACATGAATAATTGCTATTTCCCAATAAAAGCAAAATCAGCAATACCCATCACGGTGTTATTTAAAATGCTACGAGCGAGAAGATCCAATCTTTTTCAACGAATCGAACTGCGAAATATTGCGAATCAGTCCACTGCAAATGAAGAAGAAATTGCACAAGAGGAACGCTATGATCAGTGTTGCCCAGTCTATTGTTTTTGCAGTAAATCTCCTGTTTGGCATTCGAGTTACTGTTCTACTGTTTGAGAGTTGAAACTGCTGATGACTCAGTTTCATTTCACTTTCAGTTTAATTTCACTATTCCACTTGAGAAAGCTACTGTGCTAGCGAAACATGTTGTGATATATTTTTCAAATAAAGTTTGTGGAGATCAAATCGTGAGGTGTAGTTTTTGAAATTAGTTTTATTTCTATTTTCAAACGGTAATAGTGGAAATTACTGGAGTTTAATCCCAACACTAAACCGTTATTTTTAACACCTCGACACGTGTTTCAATCACCAAGTGATCATCTTCAAGAGGAAGATTAAACTTCCCCTTGAAGATGATCACTTGGTGATTGAAACAGGTGTTAAAAATAACGGTTTCGTGTTGGGATTAAACTCCAGTATTATTCATTACTACACCAAAGGTTCTAAACAGTGCATCACAAGTATAGATAGTGAAAATCGTTATATATGTGGTATATATCTACAAAAAATACAAAAAATTCATTTTTCACTGTTTTTGTTTGTTTTGTTTGACGCACAAACTACTACTGAGCATGAAAATCACCAGGCAACACTGGCCGTATTAGTATAGCCCAAAGTAAATGTAACTCAGCTAAGTTCAACATATTTATTGATTCCTAAGACGGTTCAAAGTTCACCGGGGCAGACAGTTTAATACAAAACTTACCCTTTCACGCAATGAGCGGCTGTCAAAACATATCTGTCATTGATGAGCATACCACCGCAGTAGAACCTGTTGAAGTAAGACAGTCGAGCCATCCAAGGAAACTCGTTTTCGTCTGTCGGTTTTCCTCCTACAATTCGACTGTTTTCGTTCTTCTCCCCGCAAACTATAATTTTGAAAAATAAGAATTACTTTTGAGTGTGACATTCTCAATCAACTGTTTTATGATCAGAATTATGAAATGTGTTGGGCAAAATAGTAAGAAATTTACATCGAATTCTATGTGAATAATCACCAGTGTTCACATGTATGTTTGTGTTATCACTGTGATAAATGTTATAACTGTTATCACCTGAAGACGCTTGTGGATAGTAACAATCGAAACGTTGTGACATAACTTGGTTTTAAATCTTTAAATNCCATTCAACCTACAGTGTAGGTATATTCGAGACTGGCTTGAACGTTTAAAATTAATTTCTTTATAGATTTGTTTACTGCAAGTCTGCAAGCATAGCCCACTGACTTATAAGAAAGAAGTGATCAATATTTTTTCACGTGCAACTTAAAAATAGTAACTTCGTAAATGATTACCATAATCAAACTTTTTTGGAAATAAATGCAAAACTAAAGTGAAATTTTGACAGTTCTTTTCGTTTTCTATATAGATATTAAGTAAGTAAGTCATCCGATGCCATTATTAAATAAATGGAATACCTAATTTTATATCCTAATTAACAGTTGTCAACTCATAATTGACCAGTTAAAATTTATATTACTAACAAATAAACAACAACTTAACGAATCAATTATGAATGATTGTAAAATAATTCTATCAAGTATTTTTAATTGAAACTTTATTTTATTGATTATGGATATAACTAACGCTTTAGCCATTCAATAATTCATCATTGGCAGATCAAGTAACTATCAAGCATATATGACTGGTTTATATTGGTGATTACATTAACTACTAATTTGAAATATCATTTATACCAGGCCGTTGGTTTGGCTGATCTCACTATTGCTCTCTCGAAACCGGTACGACCTACAAGGTCAGCTTAATTTGACAAAAGTTTCATACTTTGGGAAGCTGAAATAATCTCTTTTTAGATTGAGAATATCAGTGGTTGTTTATGATTTATTCGCCAAAAACTAGAATTGTCGAATTTGATTTTTTGGCCATACCGCCTCCATTTCGAATGATATGTAACAAAAGCAGAAAAACTTTCAATAATGTTTTATATTTGTTATAGCCTGATATCAACCAATTTGCAATGCGACGTTTCATTAATTACATTTTATCATCGACTTTTTTGTATGAAATACGGACTTGTATTGTAATACATAGCTGAATTTGTTATTACAGTGGCTGAAAAAATTGATGAAAAAACTAGAGGTCCGTGTTCCTTCCTACATAAAGCATGTGTGACTTGTTGCTCTTTATATGTACACCCAGGCAGTTATCAGTATACCTGTCCACTGAATAAACAAAATATTAACATAGTATATAAGACTGGTAACTATTAAACAATTGAGTTAGATACCCACAACTGTTGCATACAGGGCTTTTCACGATTAGTGTTAATTAGACGTTTCTGGCAAACCAAACAACGGAACAACCTGAAAAGTTTACAGTATGCATAAATTAATATAATCTACAAGCCTTACACATTTTAGACGATGAGGCGTTTCCGCTTCTACTATAAAATAGCGGCTACTTTGATTTTTCAAGTCACCCTGTATATAACATCATATTATGATTTCTTATCATTTTGTCAACAACTATTTTTTTACTGTTACCGGTTAGAAGATATAAATAAATTTTGTTTTTTTACCAAACATGTACTTTTATAAACGCTGATAATCTTGAAC